TTGCTCATCGGACCCCCCATCTGTGGACGACACAGCTTCCGATTCAATACAAGAAACCGGACGGGTACTCGGCGGACTATATAGCCGCTACAAAGGTCTATATAGAGCGGTCTGCCCCCCTTCCCATCGAAATTCATCTCGACCACCGCGCCGAACCTCCCCATGGCACGAAATTCCCCCCCACTCTCGTCGACGCCCTGTTTAGCGCCGCGTCACGATGGAAAAGCTTATTTGTGTCCGGTCCCACTGCCATTTTTGATGCGCTGGCTAAATTGCCCCCGGATTCCTTGAAACTTCTCGAGGAAGCAACGACTACTCTGTGGGACTCGGTGCCAGTCACATCCGCCTTCCTATGTGCTCCTCGTCTTCGCAAAGTCAAGCTCGATCTCTACAGCGGCGCTTCGAACCCCCTGCCGATGCCTTGGGCTCAACTCACAGCTCTGGATGTATCGATGGTTTCATTCTCCATCTGTCTCGACATTCTTGTGCAGTGCACGAATGTGGTTCGCGCTAGGCTCTACGCAGAACCACCACAAGTCGAGCCTACCGCTTCGTCATCCAACGCTCCAGTCACGCTGCAATTCCTCGAAGATCTTAACGTTTCGATTTACGGAGATCGCCTGGGCGCGTACTTCGGCCGGCTTTCACTCCCGAAACTACGAAAACTCAAAATTACCTTCACCGATCCAATGGGTTCTGGAGATTGGTCGCCTGCCAATTCCGCCGTATTCACCCAATTCCAGCTCCGCTCGCCCAATATTGAAGACTTCTCGCTCACTATCTGCGACATACATCCCCCAGAGCTTCGCGAGATCCTGACCCACGCGCCGCGCTTGACGGATTTGCATTTGGAATGCTGCTTCGAATCCATCGACGACGATGTGCTAGAACATTTGGAATACGCGGAGCTGGATACGGTGCATCTAACGCCGCAGTTGCAGAGACTCCATCTTGCGATGATTGGAGACTCATTCGACGAGGGTAGACTGCTGGCGATGATCAAATCCCGTTGGTGGTCCGCGGCGGCGCTTCAGGCGCTCCCAGTGCCTCCTCCAGTTGCGCGATGGGAGCGCGTGTATATATACCGCGGCGAGACCGATGTCGAACTTAGCGGATCGTTCAAGCGTGCTGTGAGGAAATTGAAAACCCAGGGTCTGGAAATCGAAGTGAGCTGAATGTACAGGTACGCACAGTTCACTAGTTAATGCGATGCAACGCTCAATCATTCGCACAGTTCTTGCTTAGTCTATTGATTGAAGAATCCCACTATCGCGGCTCCTGATACTCCTCTTGCTGTATCGAGTTCTCGCTCAACCTTGCTGTAATTGCTTTCATTTTGTGTCAACACTTCCTTTATCAGCATCACCTCACCCTTCTCCAACCTCCTTACCGCCCCCGCGCTTATAAAATTGCTGATTATGTCCACGAGCTTCGATATTCCTGCTACACAGATACTTCCCAATGTCATTCAAAGGATCTTACCTTTTCAGTTTTTCCAGACCTGCCAGTGGGAAGAAAAGAGCGAAAAACAGGGAATAAGCTTTTCTGTACAGTCGACGCACGAGACTGTTGAAACACACCACAAGCCTTCGGGCTTCGACTCGCAACTCCAATACGGCTTCTGAATTTCAACCAAGCTTCAAATTTGAACGAACGACTTAGTACCGCAACATCTTCATACCGAGCTGCTTCATACTCACGAAAAAAACGCGAGAAAAGCTAATGGAAGACGCGCGATATGGATGGAGGGGAATCGAACCGCCTCCTCACCCGAATCCGGATTTCGCGACGTTGTAGTGCATAATGCAACTTGAAGCGAACATTCCCAGAGTAGCTACTTATTGTGTATAATTCGTACGATAGAAAATGGCAACTAAAAGAAGTCAGATTGGACAAATCAAAAGCAAATCTTCAATCCGACGCCATGGCGAGGAATTGAACCTCGGATTTTTCTGTGTGAACAGGGTAATACTACAATGGAACGAAAAACCGTCGACCATACCCAGGGCGATTTCAAAATCCGAGGGATCGGACTGGCTTCGAAGGGTCCTGGTTGAATTGTGGGGTTCCGGGTGCCCTCCACCGCATCTGCAGGAACAATCGGCCGACATATGTTCCCTGCCTCGATCTCGGGTTCCCCACAGCGATACGATACGCTACGAGGCCACCGAAGATCCTCGAAAGCCTGAGGGAGAAAGAAAAAAAAGGAGGGGTTCTTCCGCGAAACGCCGTCGAGGGATTGAACCCAATTCCTCCAATGGAAGTTCAAGTCCGAACTTCAGGAGGAATGACAGACCCCTGACAGACAGCAACGGCTTTTTTTCTATTCGTCGTTGAATCGTAATATTACGTATTCGGGGCAGTAAAGCGACTCGGAATCATGGCCAGCTTCGCAAAATACGCAGCGAAAGACCCCGATATGGCCAACTATCCGAGCAATGCTCGAATATCAACCGCTGCTCTCAGTAGATTCGTATTACAGTAATGAGGATTTTCGGATAACGAAACAAAAAATACGAATACGATTCTGCAAGGCTCTTCCACAAAGTCAGGAGGAATTGAACCTCCATCTGCCCTGTAAAATGTGTTCACAGATGGCGATTCCATTGGGGATCCAATAGGCCGCAAGAAAGTACAAAGTTTTTGCCCTGGCATGAAGTATTAACCACGCGAGTGAGATCGAGGAACACAGACTTGAACGAGAGGAAGTAAGCAAATACGTAGATTTCGAACAAGGAAAGCAAAACGCAAACCAAAAGAAGCAAAACACGGATTCTTGGATGGCTAACTCCGCTGAGAGGAATCGAACCCAACCCTTCCGTTCCCTAGATTTCCTGTCCGGGGACTTCGAATTCACCGGCTTAGCAGGCCCACAACGGCTTTAATTCCTTCCAAAGGTTCAGCTTGAATTGCAGAGGAGAATTTATTCAATCCACGGATCCGGATCGAATTTGGATTTCACCTTTTCTTTTTGTCGTTGAACGCGGCCGAACCAAAATAAAGAAATTTAAACAAAACAATCCGCCTAGCAGGCTTCGTTTCGACTGAGGAGGAAACGAGGTGGACGCGTCGTCCGAGCTTGACGGAAGTTTTCGGTATATAGTGGATATAATATTAATTGAGTTGGCTGGGCAGTCTACTCTAACTTGAAGGCGAGCGAGGAATTCGAATGCATACATTAATTCGACCTGTGCTAGCGGGAGATTTAAATTTCACGCATACCATTGTAATGAGGATGTTCGCATGAAAAAAACGAGAAAAAAAAAACAAGCATGAATCGATCCCCCCAAGTCGTTCGGAGGAATTTGCACAGACTGTAGTAGTACACGGCAGTCAGAAAGACACGACGGCTTCCCATCCGCAGGTTGGGTGCAGAAAGACGGTCAAGATACCTCACCAACTTGAAGCGAACATTCCCGAAGCTATAGCAAGATGCACAAGTGTCAGAGAATGATAGGATGCAACTTGAAAGTCACAGTCGACTACTCACCGCAGAATGAGGAGAGACTCAGAACGTTCCTTTTCGATCCAGACCGTGCTTCCCAAGTTGGCTGAGAATCGAGTGAATATGCGCGCAGAAGCAACGTCGGGTTATGGGGAACAAGGTGTTCAGTATGATATCATGGGTAGACAGAGGACGCAAAATTATGGAATCTACAGGTAGATATTCGGGTAACGAAGAGGGAGGAGGGGGGTGAGTGTGAGGCCACACTGCGGGAGACGATGTCCGAGAGTATATAGAATAGGAAAGCGACGAGGTAGGAGATACAATGGAAGGAGGAGGACGGCAAGATTCATTTGGGAAGAGAGCCTGCGTACGACGATTCAATTCTTCAAGCCTTCACCTCCGCCTTCTCATCAACCTTCTCAGCCTCATCGAACAACACCTCCACCTCCGTCGCTACCGGAAGCACAGTCGCTTCGCCCTCCGCCGCCGCCGCCGCGCTCTTGCCCCTCATATACCCCACAAACATCAGCCCCAAAAACAGCGCAAACAGCACCTCGAAGCCGCGCAGCAAATACAGCGCCACGTCGGCGACGTTCTCGAGCACGGGGCGGTCGAGCGAGACGAGGTGTTCGCGCGCGATTTGGCGGTAGGCGAACCACGTGGTGGAGAGGAGGGAGAAGATCTTGCCATGGATGGTGGCTTTGACCTGGACTCCGGGGGCCGGCGCGGGCGCGGCGGGGTCCTCGATCACTGGAGCATCGGCAGCGGGGAGAGGGGACGGCGGGACGGCGACGCCGTCCTCGAGCGCCACCGGCCCAGTGGCAGTGCGGCGAGTGAAGACGCGCGCTAAAAAGAGGCGCGCGTCGTTAACGAGCATTGAGAGCATCGTCACGGCCATGACGGTGCAGAGGGCGAAGAAGCCGCGGTCGAAGGCGTCGGTGAGCCATTGGCAGGCGTCGCCGAGGGGCTTGAGGGGCGGGTAGTAGGCCTCGATGAGGATGGGGGCGAGGTAGAGGGAGGTGAGGGTGAGGAAGAAGAGGAAGTAGTATTTGAGTTGGGTGAGGAAGGAGGGCGGGGTGGCGGGGCGCGCCATTGTGTGAGATGAGTGTGGAAAGTTCAGGTGAGAGGGAGGGGGATGATGAGGGAAGACGGAGAGTGCGTGGATGCAGTGTTGCGTGGTGATGCCGTCGGAGATTCGGGCATCATCCATCGGCACCGCCAAGGCGGCATGGTCCGCATCATGGCAATTCCCGCGTAACGTAAGTTCAACTCTTGGTTCAACTGTTTCTCTCGTTTGCGCAGTTTGACGACTTTGGATGCATAGGCTAGAAAGTTAGTTAGTTCTCAACCCACTAAGTGACCCAACGATCAAGACTTGCGATACTGAGTAGGATTTACAACTGCTGGATACCAAAGCGAGCAAATGCGCAGACCCAGGTTTCTGATGGTACACCGAAGACAACCCCTTGTCTTGTTCAGAATTTGCTTCATTGAATGCGGGAAAAAACGAAAAAGACGAAACCGTGAGAAAATGTTTTCCTATGTGCCATTATGCCGTCGAGAGGATTTGAACCTCCGCTTTCCTGGTATACTTGACTCTCGATCTCAGAGACGGCATTTGAACAGAAATGACCGACCACAGTCTACGACGGCTTTCATTTACTGCATTGCTTTAGAAATAATCCGAACTGCCGTGGTTTCGATGTTTAATGCACCAGTGTACAAAAATTAAAAACACGCCGTTCTCTCCACCATGGAATCGAACCTCTCGTTGCAATTCGTCAACAGCCTGCTTAGCACGAGTCATGGATTCGCCAAGTTCCGCTTCCTGCCAACTTCTACATTACACTGCTTGGATATGAAGGTTGAGTTCAGTTGAAGCGGAATGAGGGACAAAATCACCTCCGCCATCACCGGACTCGGAGATCACCGAGTGACGTAAGTTCATTTTTTTCCGAAACTCAACAGTTGTTTCGTTCAAGTTGAGAACTTGTTCCAGTTTCATTACGGAGTCTTAAAAGCTGATGTGGCATGAGGCTAGGATGGGCATCGATTCTACCTTCTCCTTTGTTGCTTTGGTTTTCGGAAATCAGGTTGCTTTCGGGGTCCTCGGGCTCGGAGTCGGGGAGGAAGTATACAGGTTTGCTGATCGAATAGCTTGGGGGGTCTGGTTCTATATTTCTTACCGCCGGAAGCTCACTGTTTTGCGTATGAAATGCACTCGTCAAGAGCCAAGCAGTATTTGAAACAAGGGAAAGAATGTTTTCGATTGAAGTATGAACGAAATTGTCGGAACCATGGGAAACCTTTCTTTGCGCCCCAAATTACTGCGTATAGATGTGTTAATTCGGCGACTGCTTTGAGATTCGGAGCAAGTATTCGAACACATTCACTAATTCAGCAGAAAAAATCTAGTTTTTCACCAGATGCATATGGTATACGTATTCGACGGAGATATTATTTTCACTTGCTGACTACTAGAAAGACTTGTTAGCTCTGAGCGTTGATGGTGAATTAAACAACGAACGACGCTCACCACTGAAGCCAATCCTAAGTCACTTGAATGTCCAAACCTTCCGACCTCCATGCCTCCATCTTGTTTTCAAAAGGGCGGCTGAGATTCCATTCGGGATCATCCCCACGCCAAATGTGAATAGATTCCCAAGCCGCCACAAGCGGAGGAGTGGGAAGAGCTTGAAGAGCCTGCGCGGACCACCACCTAGAGCGGATCATCGCTTCCAGACGTTTCTGAGTGAAATCGCTTCTCACAGAGCCAAACTGGAGTGTGCGTAACCTTGGAGCAATATGTGGCGGATGGTTTGGGCAATATTCGAGGAAGTGTAGGAAGTCGTTGTCGACACAATACATGCAGCACTCCAGCCTCAACTTGATTAGAGATGGGGTGCTTGATAAGGCTTCCTCCAAGTGATGAGGGAGAAGGTCGAAGACAGCGAGATGTAGGTCCTCGAGGAGCGGCGAACGGAGGAGAAATTGCGAGAATACGGTAGACGCTGTATTGTCCCATTCCCTCCTGTCGATGACGCCAAGAGTATGACCCACCTCAAGTGTTTCGAGTTGTGGGAACGAGAGACGCGCAAAACACGACTCGATTTGATTTCCGCACAAATCTAGCCTGAACGTACGGAGCTGCGGGACGATCACAAGTCCTTCGGGCAGATTCTGTGACGAATCGTCCTCGTCCGGGTCCATCGTTTCTATCTTCAAGTCAACGAGAGAATTGCAGTGGGTGAGAATTTTGAGCCAGAGTTTGAATGCACATTCTCCCAGGGAGAGTTTAGTCAACTGCTCCCATGGCATCGGAAACATTGGGATAGCATCCCCCAACTCGAGAGACTTCGCGAAGGAGGGGGGCACAAAGAAACGCGGAAGTGACGGGCAAAAAGTCTGGGACAGCCCCGATCAATGTCAAAGACCGTAGTTTTTTCAGGGCATCCGAGGGGAGCTTGGCCAGGGCCCGAAGCACGGAGGAGTAGCCATTTACTTCCAACTCATACCAGCGAGGGGCTGCGCTGGCCAGCACGTCTGCCAGAGCGTCAGAAATAGGTGGCTCGTGATATCCATTGCGGAGACGAAGGAATATCGAACGAGGCGCCGAACGCTCCTGGCAGAGCTTCGTCATCGCAATGTAGTCGGGAGAGAGGGGCTTTCCTTCTTTGGATCTGATCGGGAGCTGCACCGTCCAGAAGATAGGATTTCGGAGAGCGAGCTGTCTCCAATGCCTACAGACATGCGAAACCCGTATGGCCCTCATCGTAGCATTCTCGTAGTTCCATCTTAGTCTCCCAAGTCAGACCATAAATCCCGAGATTTTTTTGTATTATATTGGGGCGGGCAAAAAAATCTGATTTAATGGTCTGATTTCACTTGCATATCAAAAGCCGTGAGTCCCCATTCCGAATAAGGAAATCACCAAAAAGGAAATTTCCTGCTCGCCCTTTGCTCAGCGAGGAGGGCAGCTACAAACCTCGGGTAACTTCAGAGACCTTCAAAATCCTACTTGAATGACTTCTGATCTTGAATATTTGAGCCACGTTTGTGGATTAGCCTCATTTTGAGTCCAACGCTGCTGTGGCTGTGCCACTCACCCAAAGAGGTTCAATTTTGGATCCCGATTTTTACCACAGCGAAGCAGAGAAACAAAAAAATGTGAGTAGTAAAGTTGTAGATTAGTTCCATCTCATGTAGATCGCACGATGAAAGATGTCCATCAACAACTCGTCGGAGAGCTTGCGAATGGGCGCGATGACCGGTTTAAGCGTGGCGAGGAGGCCGTACTCGCGATTTCGCATGCATATAAGATCCTGAATTTGCGAGTCAATACGCGCTATTTTTTCTTCGGAAGCAGCGATGAGGGATTTGATCAGCTTTTCCAAAGACTGTGAGTCATGGCCAGCCGCCGCAATCGTGGACGAAGTCAAATCCATGATCTTCAGGGTAGGAATATTGAGCTAGGATGAGATTTTTGGCAAAAGTCGAGACTCGCCGTATGCTGACACTTTTTTCCCGCTTCTCGGTTGGTGCGAGCAGGCGCCTCGCCAGCCACAGACACCGTGGCCCACAGTGGTGTCAGTGGGCGGAAAGAAAGAGTGTCACACCACGTTACGTAGAATGTCACATCTGATGGGTGAGTAAAATGTTAAGAGTGCGTACGGCTGCGAGATACGGGCGAGATACTGGATATTGATGGGTACTGATTTCCTTATTGAGTAGGTACGGGAAAGTATGGAAACCAGGAGCACCACGCTGATGTTGATGTGTTTGCATCAGTGATCTTGTGATCTCCGACGTCGGCCATCTATCTAGACCTCGGATACCACCTGTCACATTACTTTCGGCAAATTTTCGGGCGTAGAAAGGAAACTACGGGACCAGACTACTTAGTACCTCGAGCTCTGCAGTGTCTATCTCGGGTGCCGACTTCAATCAGGCAAAAACCTGGGAATCATCCCGAAGGAGAAATTCCAGAAGAGTACTCAACTCTAAGTCGTCGAAACTCACTTGATGAATGTGCGGAAATTGTATTTGGTGCAGCATTCAACCACATCTCTACCTCTACACTTTGCCTCTGTATTATTTGGTCGTTTCAAAAACACCGGAACAATTTGGCCAAATCTTCCTTCATATCTGCTTAATTTTCTTCGCAGACTTGCTCCTTGTGATTCTGGCTGAAGTTATATGACAGAACCCTCTTGGAGACTCGGACTCGCGCCACAGAGCCCCATTTCTTGAGCTGATTAGCAACTGATGCAAAACAGCTTTTCCCCAGTCCTATATTCTGAAGCCGGTCATGGTGTAAATTATAATTATAAAATAATGAGGGCTCTTGGGCAAGAGCTTCAGCAGTATTGTATCCATCTAGCTTGTTTCATTTCCTGCAGGTAGGAAGGACATCTATTTGCTGGGGCCTAATCTGGTTCAAATCTAATTCTCCCAATTCTGAACTTAGACCTATCAAAACTATCGAGTTCAAAATTACCAAAGGCTGCTAATAAGCTCAATCCGATCTGTATTGTGTCGCATGCGGTGCTCGTACCTCTTTCTTTGTTCAGTGATTGTTCATTATCTAGCCTTGGTTTCAAATTTTCTTCATTGAATCTTTGTTCCAACTTGGCAGCTCGGGTTTCTCGGTCACCCGTGTTCATTCAATTGTGTTCTGACTGACTCTGGTGGTTTGGGTTGAAATGAAATATGAATTCATTTCTCTTTTCGGCTCTCCACAAAACTTAGAAGTGTTTTCAAACTGCCTTCAGCTTGTTCAACATGTTCGGGTTGTTGGCGAAACTACCCTGTTTTGATTTGCCTCATCATTGATTTTGTAGAAATATGCTTGCTTGCGCTCAGATGAGTTCATTCCGCTGAAGTGTAATTCGGTGCTAACTGGCGGCTTCAGTTCGGCTGTATGCCGAAACTACGAAGCTCCGTGCTTCTACTCTTTTCAGTTTCAAATTTGTTCTCCAGTCAAAGCGGCATTCAGTTCAAGTATATGAACATAACCAATCTCATTGGCATGCTTTCCATTTTTTGGTATTGAATTTGACGACACTGAGAATAGAATTGTAAAGAAACTAAATCAGAAAGAATAATGAGAATAATGAGTGCCCAAGAAAAAGTCAGTATTATTTGTTTTGGCGTATGCGCGGAGTCTGCCAGAGCCTTGAGTATATCACCAAATTGACAAAGGGGGATTTGAATTCAACAAAGAGTCATCCTTTTAGAGGCCGTGATAGAAGTTTGAGGCTTTGAGTCAGACGTACCTTACCCCACACTCTAGTACTAATCGAATCGAAATGAAGCGGATTTTGAACTAGAACAATCAATCACATGGATTGAATTGCTGGTTCAAGCGAAGAAAAAAAAACTCTGAGCACAAGATAGCGACTGGGAGACCGAAAGGCAACTAGTCCAGGATGAAGACAAAACAAATGGACAACTGAACAAGTTCCACAAGATTCGGCCGTGGATGAATTTAGAGAGATTAGTTGAAGTCCATCGAAGTCATGAGTCAAGTCTGAGACAGGATTGAGTGAAGATCAAGTAAAACCAACAATTGGAAGTAGGCAGTACCCTGCACAGACTCCCAGTAACAATATGCGCAAGATATGCTCTTCTGGGTGCTGAATACTCAGTTGGAA